CACTGCTGTTGGCGCCTCTGCCGGCGGCCGCGATGCTCGATTGCAAACACATCCGAGTGGACGACGTCTCATTCAACCTCGAGGCGCTAGGCGGACCGCACAGCGTTGTGACCAGCCAGTGGCACCCTCCTACGTACACCAACACCTCCTATACCGTCGATATCTGTGCTCCCTTGAAGCGCAAAGGAGACGTCAAGAAGGAGGAGCAGTGCCCCAGTTTCACAAGAGGTAATGGATTCACGCGAAATCGTTGAGAGTGGCAAGCTCGACCAGTACAGAGCTAACGTGTCTGGACAGTATGTGCCATTGAACGCAACATTCATCCAGGTGACGACAAGAAGGACGAAGTCGAAAAAGTGATACCCATCGCCGGCGAGCTTGGCGACCACGGCGGAAGCAAACTGGACGCCACAGCAGAACGACTCAAGTCGAGCGACTCCAACTCGGACGCGAAGAAGGAGGGCGTCCGCCTGATCCTCAACGGAGGCTCGTACCCGCTGGGTAAGAACGGACGGAACCAAAAGGCCATCATCGAGTTCCTCTGCGACCGTGACAGGACGGGCCTCGAAGGCGAGGTCAAGCCTGAGGACCAGTACGACGGCAGCCAGTTTCGCGCGCGCGAGGAGGGCAAGGAGGGCGAGGATGACGGACCCTCGCCCGACGAGAAGCAGGTTCTGTTGAACGGGACGGCCTTGATCTGGAACAGCTACGGCCCGAACGAGAAGAACGACATGGATGTGCTGAGGTTGACGTGGCACACCAAGTACGCGTGCGAGGACGCGTACGGTAAGCCGCCTGCGGAGGGTGGCAGTGGTGGTGGTGACACGAGCAGCCACTGGGGCTTCTTCACCTGGCTCTTTGTCTTGTAAGTCTGGACGGAATCTTTATGGTGGTTTATCTTCGCACAAACTAACGTCAATGCTTTTTTACAGGGCCTTCCTCGGCATCGCTGCGTACCTCATCTTCGGCTCGTGGCTGAACTACAACCGATACGGTGCTAGGGGCTGGGATCTTTTGCCGCACGGAGACACCATTCGCGACATCCCCTACCTGGTGAAGGACTGGACTAGGAACGTGCTCAACACCGTGAACACTAGCGGTGGCCGGGGCGGATACAGTGCAGTCTAGGTGTGAGAACTGAGATGATGATCCTCGTCCACATCGTCCGCTTACAAAAGAAAAAGAGATGGCAGGGAAAGAAAGAGGAAAGTGTACATTTTATAGTTGTAAACTGGATTAGTGGCTACGGTTTCTGGGTTGCATTATTCTCGCGAGCCTAAGTCGCGACTTTGGAGTTGGGACCGGTGTCTGGTCCTCTGGAGCTTTGTTGCATTAGCTGTGCTTGTCTATCAAGAATACACATTTGATTGAAATGGACATTTATTTCCGGTGTCGCTGTAGATCTTTGCCAAAAGGGTGTATAGGTCCCCTCAACCCCGTTCCTGTCACCAGCCAGCAGGCGCCCGTCTAGGTCGACGGGTCAGGTCAAACTGGCTGGGTGGTGGAGCGGTTCATGGTCAACAACAATCGCCAACCAGCCTTACTCGACGACAGGCTTAGCGCATACGAGAGTACCCGAGTTCGAATCCCAGCATGAGCACCAGAAATTATGTCCCAGCATGAGCACCGAGAGATGTAGCCCCCAGTCCAGCACCGGGGGGGTGAACTCTTTTTTCCTTTCTATATAGGATGGTTTTCCTTCCTGAAGTAGACTTTGACGAGATCTCGCTTGCAAGGGAAATGCAACAACACACTACATTTGTATTCAAAATACGCGGTTCCCACGCTTTGTGTACGTATGAGGCTGGACGTAGCAGTAATCATATCCCATCACGGAAGGGGCCGCGGGACTAAGATCCGGGTTAGCCTCAAGGTAAGGTTTGGTAGATCCGCGATTCGGTGGGGCCGATTCAACTGACGTGCAGCACGGATGCACCTCATCGAAGCTCGCCTGTCCCGGCTCCATGTACCTGCCCCTCCGGCCCTTACCTCCGTGTACTTCACCCGCGCCATCAAAATAACAGGCATGCCCACCACCCATCACAATTCTGCCGGTGACTCTTCGCCAGTCAACCCAGAAGATCCAGAATACGAAGACTTCCTTGAAGATGAAGAACCTTCACCAGCATTCACACCCGCGCCCCTCCCACCCCTCACAAACGAACCCCGACGACACCCGGATTCCTGCCTGACCCTCTCCCTCCCTCTCATAAAAGCCCTCCACGCACAACTCCCGCCGACGCCGGAGCTTACCCTCTCGATCGGTAGTGGGACGGGGCTTGTCGAGGCCCTGCTGGACTCTCTGGTCGATATCCAGGCCCAAGATCCCACTCAAGAAGTCTCTCAGAAGTCACCTGCCCCTGGGAAGCTCAACCTAACCAGCATCGAAATCGCCCCATCCCCAAATAGATACCACCGCAACCACCGCACTGTCCCAGGAACGTGGGCGCTCGACCCCGCTGCGGCGGAAGCGAAGGCGTGGATGTTTGTATATCCGAAGCAAGTCGCCTTGGTGCGGAAGTACATGGAGGCCTTTGCTTCTAGCAGTTCTGGTTCCGGGGAGAAAGGGGTTGCTGTGGAGACTGTGCTGTACGTCGGTCCAAGAATGGATTGGGATGATTTTCGGGGCGCGTTGGAGCCGTTTGCGGAGGATGTGGAGGTTTGGGACGAGGAGAGGATGGAGAGCGTTGGCGGGCAGGGGTGGGAGTGCGTTGTGAGTGTGAGGGTGAAGAGGTGAAGTTGGTGGGAGAGAGGTTTAATGCGTGGGGTCAGGATAGAGGTGGAAGAGAGGTTGTATGCGTGGGGTTAGGACAGAAGGGGAGCCCGGTATGAACACGAGATTTGAGGCGGAGAGAGGTTCTTGGGTAGGCTTGTAGGTGGTGAGAAGGGTGTACTGCGGGATGCGACTTGAATATGGTATAGTCACCCGCCCAAGTCAAGATCAAGGTCACGAGTAACGGTCAAAGATGACCATATTCATCTTGGTCTTCTTACTCTAATCTGCCTAGCCACGTCTTCAAATCCTCTCATCAGGATAGCAGCCGCAGACCAAGTCTTAGTATAGTAAGTGAGACGCGTACCCTACTACGGTCGACGGGCGTAGGAAGACGGAAGAAAGACATCCCTCAGATGGCCTAATACGCATGCGCTGCTACGTAGAGACATCAATCTCTGGTCAGCAACTGGCAAGACTACGCCTTACAACAAAAGCGGCAGAGCAAAGGACACCAAGAAGCAATAATAATTCCCGACAGCTGGATGGGAGGTCACAACCTCAAAACTATCACCTGGAAGATTCGCTCATCGACATAAGCACTGCCGAACTTCTCAAAGGGTCGTCGTGTTGCTCACCAGGTCACCCAGCATGAAAAGTCTGGTCTCAATCAGGCGTGGCGCTGAAACAGGCCAAGAAGCACCCAGGCACTCTGTGACGGGAGCCGACACCTGCGTGCAATGTCCGCCGCCTTAACCTAATAACCCACTAGATCTGATTGCACGATACATTGGTCTAGATTGTATACTACTAGGGCTACGCAAATGCTAAGCTATGCCAATGATGATCACAACCGCCCCCAACACCTCGCTCCTGAGACGAGGAAAACGCTTCTCCCCTCCTCTCCACATTAGAAATTTCCACACAAAACAATAACTACTATGTAGATAGACAAGCGAGTGCAACCTGTTTGGCTTGGGCTTTTGTGCACACAAAAAAGTATTTACGATATGTATATACAACGAGAGTGTGAGTAGGAAAAGAAAAGCCTTCGAGGTCAACTCTGAGAAGGCTGCCGGGGTCCCTCTTAAGCCGCAGCAGGGGCCGCAGCAGCCGGCATCATCGAGGCAGCAAAGGTGGCAGCCTCATCAGCGTCATTGCCGTACGTCAAGTGAGCGCGGCGGATCTGGTTGCCGCCCTCGCAGATGTTGTCGCCGTTGTGGCAGATGACCTTGGTCTTGGCGGCATCCACGCCCTGGACAGCTTGTCCGTTTACTGTGAAGAAGATGCGTTAGCACTGAGATCAAAATCATCATGCACCCGTGAAAGAGCTTCATGGAAAGTAACTTACGCGGGTCACCGAAAATAACGGCACCAGCAACCTTGGCTACCATGTCAGGCTGCATCATCGCAGCACCGTTGTGGACGAGCTGTCCACCCTGGGAGTATCCAGACATGATGACGGCCGAGTTGGGGCAGTTGGTGATGGCTTGCTCAGTAAGGGTGGCCATCATTTGGGATCCGTTGGCGTCACCTCCGGCCAAGAAACCGGGGATATCGGCGGGATACTCAACACCCTGGACGGCAAGGCTGCCGCCGACCTGAGTCGCAAGGGACTGGAAGAAGGGCGGGCCGGCAATGGTTCCAACGTTGCCCCCCTCGGTGGTGCCGCGGGCAAAGATGACGATCATAGATTGGCACCCGGCGGCGAGACCATCTTGCTGATTCCCTGAGAAGTCGGCCTGACGGGGCTGAATCGTGAGAGGGGAGGAACTCGCCGTGCCCAGCAGGGCGAGAAGGAAGGCTGCTGTTGAGCTGTGCATTTTGTGTGCTGATATTGTAAGGACTGATTATTGTAGTTGGCAAAATATTAGTAAGGAGTGAATATGGATTATCCGATGCTAGCTGAAAGTTGGATCAACAACTATTCAAGGTTCTTGGTCGTCGTCACATGAGGTGGGGGGGTTACTGGCGACCATTGCACTCTTATAGCGGAGGTAGTGTGAGATGCTCCTTGTTTCTACTCACGAATCGCCTAGCCGGCCGGTGAGACGGAGGCGACATTAAGCTTCTTTCCCTCGCCTATTCCGTGTTGGACGTTCCTGCAGCACAACGGCTTCATGTACCGCAACCTCATCCCAATGGGGTAAAGAGGGCGGATCAGAGGCAGGGACCTCACGTGGGATCGACCTGATCCCGACACTAGACGGGGGAGCCAGGGACGGACTTTGCTGATTCTTCAGAAATCGTAGGCTGGTACGCTTGTACCGGCAGATGATGATGGTGGTCAGGAGTAGTCCGCCAAGCTGAGCTGAGCCAAACAGGTGGACCCCTTGAAAGCTTGGTGTGCGTGCCTTGCGTTCCAAACTTCCTTCCCGCAGCCAGGGCGGGCTGAAGAGTGCTGTTGACGACTTGACGGGGCAGACAAAATCCTATAACGGCGCGGATTATCGTAGTGCGGGCCGGTTGCGATTGGCTACAGTCTGATTCAAGAGTGAAGCTGGGTCCGATCTCTTGTTGCCCGTGGGGGAGGGAGGGGACGAGTTTCGAAACAACAGGGTGGGCTGTGCGCAACACCAGCGGAAGGGGAGGACACCGACGGTCTCCCAAGCTTTTTCAGAATGTACCGACTGACGTTTGGTGTGGTTTGGTGGGGCTGGATAGGGCGAATGGCGGGACGCTGTGGTAGACTGAAGTGGAAGTATCCGTTGAGCTTGGCTGTAGTAGATGGCAGGTCTCTGACAGCGCTTTGTTCTGGTCCCATGTTTTTCCGCCGCTTTTCTTCGTCTTGACCCATTCTTGCTCCAGTCAAGTTGCGAATCATCCCTCCTTGAGTGAAGGAAGGGAGGGCTGGAAAGGTGGCATCGATACCAAGTGCGAGGGTGACCGCTGACGTGCGTTTAGGTAAGACTGGCGTTGGGAGACAGCTGAACCGTCGGATTTCGATGGCCTTCCGTTTGGCCGTCTGGCTCTTTTGCCAAGATCGTCTCGACTTTTTTCTGTCGCTGGTCTTATCATGCTCTCCCTCGACCGGAAGAGGCACTGGACGAAGATCCGGACTTGGGCTCGGGGAAGATGCGGTGAGATGACCTGACGACACGGCATCACTCTCGGCAGTATGGTGGCACCTCATCAACGCAACGGGGCGATTTCGGCAAGATGATTAGTCGTGACTGAGTAATGACTGTCCGTGATAGTTATCGATTGGGACTTCAACTAGGCTCGTTCGAGTATGTAAGTTGGAGGCTATCGAGGAAGCCCCGCTCCACAAATATTAATGTCTTGACATGGCAGGTGCCTCGAGGCGTCAACGGGCGCTGCCGATTGTCGTTGACTTGAATTGAAAAAGCATAATGAAGACGGAGGGTTCCTGGGCAGCCAAGAGAGGTCACCGAGAAGAGTTTCGTCACACCGAAGTCCAACGGCTTTGGCAGCTACGTACCTGCCTTGGAGCGTGAGGTGAGGTGGAAGGAGGGGCAAAACGTGGGGGACGCAGGGGAATCCGGCAAGATCGGGCCCGCCTCACGGGAGGGGGATTTAGCCGAGACCCATCTTTCAAGGTTGACCTCCACCTTCCGAGGTTCGACATGGAACTAACACTGGTCCTGCCGTCCACCGAGGTGTGAGGTCAGATGGCCAGCAACTGCGATCGGTTCTTGAGCCACCAAATACCTACTCTAGGCTCATGGTTTGATCTTTGCTCGGTGTGTTAGTTGCATGAGATGAGAGGCTCGGGAAAAAATTATGACCACTTCCGCCAGGCCAGGGCTTGCCTTACAGTAGATATCAAGAACCATCAACCATAAGCAGCTTTCATCGATAGCAGCTGCTTTCACAAAGGATTACATGCCAATTACGAGAGCAGCTGACAAAATCTTTCCTATAAACAGTCACAAAATCCAAAAGAACCGAGATAACCCACCGTGGTCTAAATATAGCATGATTCAAATGGTGCTGGTGCCCATCATCAGCGGGAGAGAAGTGACCATAATACAACTCGATGTAAGGTTTGTGTCTTACATTCATGTCACTTGGAGATACAATAACGTGAATGTCCAAAGCAGTTTGCATTGTCTCAAAATTGAGTGAGACCATCATGGGGAACTAATCTGCCTTGGGATGACATCTTCCCATGTCTCGATCTCTTCAACTGTGGTTCCATTCCATCGTGTTGTCGAATAATCTCTCTTCTGTATGCCCCTCTCCCTGATTTTCCCCGTGAAACTTGAAGTTGGGGATGTCAGAGGGCGTTGTCAGCCGGGAAGGGTACAACACTCGGCTTGTTCAACTCGGCTCGCTTCTCAGGACCAAGGGGTCTCATCTCGATACGAACGAACTTGAATTCGTCATTCATGTCTAGGATAATGGCCCTGAGTTGAGATCGGTTGTTTTCATGGAACTCGATGATTCTGGTGACACGATAACGGTCCGCGATAGTCGTCAGTTCGTAGGCATGGCCGTGATACTGGTCGCAGTAACCTCGGATCTCATCCAGGCCTTCAAAGATCTGCCCAGGGTCTTCTAGATTTCCAATGAGCCTGACATTGGGAGCGCAGAGCTCTGCGGCGGCTTCCAAGTCGTTGTCTTCCAGAGCCGTCATAAGTTCATCGGCCAGCTTCTGCTGCATATCGCGGAACGGCCTGTCACTCGACTCTCCCTTCATCTCTTGAATCCAGCGAACCATGTCAACCGTCTCGGACGTGTGAAAGTTCTGAAAATACGTTAGCACGATTGGCTAGAAGATGTACGAGCTTACCTAAGACTTACATAGTTGTCCATCTTGTTGACAAACCTCAGATGGTGTCGGAAGAGTTTGATGACAGTATCGAGAAGAAGTTTTGTGTGCTGGTGAAGTTTGATTGTGAGACTCGCTATTGAGAATTCTCTGAAACAATAGGGTAAAGCTTGGTTGCTTGGGTGCTCAAGGCCTTGCGTTGTTGAGGAAGAAAGGCAAGGCGGGGTGTGGAAGATTGAGAGGGTTTTATACCGTGGATGGGCGGCTGTGAAGACTTCTCGAGGGAAGGTCTGCTCTTTTGCGCCTTCCACTTCTTTTACGGCGGTAGGTCTCTTGAGCGAGGAAGGTGCCGCTGGAAGACTACAGATCATATATGGGAGCAATTCTTAAGACACATTTGAAGCCATCACCAAAGTGGGGGGTGAGGGCAAGACCGGGTACGACGGAGGTACCTTCCGATGGTACACTTCATTTTGAAGTTTCATTCATTTTTCATTGAACAAATCCAAGCTTTCAGCAAATTCATCTCTCAACACGGCAAGCCTCAGAGCAACTGCTTCTTCAGAGCTACAACGCTTCGCTGCTTTACGTTGCTTGGAATCTAGGTCTAAGTGTCGTCAGGTTTTAAACGCCGGCGCCAAACGAGAATTAATTACATGGATCGAAACATCCTTTCATCACATGAAGTTGTGGGTGGTGAGTCATCATGATCTCATGAGCGGGTGACGGAGATGGCCTCCTCAACAATATCCAAACCTTGCTGAATCTCCTCCTCGGTGATGGTCAATGGCGGCACGAAACGCAGAGTGTTGGTGCCGGCAGTGATGATGAGCAGACCGCGCTCGCGGGCAGCCTTGACAATGGGCGTGGGGTCCTGGGTAAGCTGGAGACCGAGGATGAGACCGCGGCCGCGGACCTCCTTGATCAGGTCGGGGAAGCGCTCGCGCAGGGCGTCGAAGCGGGTCTTGAAGATCTCGGCCTTGGCGGCGACGGCCTTTTGCAGACCCGGGTCGGCGAGGCGGGAGACGATGTTGTGGGCCAGGCGGCAGGCGAGGGGGTTGCCGCCAAAGGTGGTGCCGTGGTCGCCGACCTTGATCTTCTCCGAGACGTTGCTGTTGACGATGGTGGCGCCGATGGGGAAGCCGTTGCCGAGGGCCTTGGCGGTGGTGATGATGTCCGGGTGGGCCTCCTTGGGGAGGTGGGTGTGGGCCCAGAAGGTGCCGGTGCGGGAGAGGCCGCACTGGATCTCATCGTAGATGAGGACGGCGCCGACCTCGCGGCAGCGCTTGGCCAGGGCGATCAGGAACTCGTCCGTTGCGGGCGTGACGCCGCCCTCGCCCTGAATGGGCTCGACGATGACACCGCAGGTCTTCTCGGTGACGGTCTCGTTGATGGCGGCGACGTCGTTGAAGGCGCCGAGCTTGAAGCCGGGCAGCATGGGCGCAAAGGGCTCCTGGTACTTGGGGTTGTGGGTGGCGGACAAGCTGCCCATGGTGCGGCCGTGGAAGGCATTGTTGAAGGAGACGACCTCGAACTTGTCACCTGAGGGCTGGCTGACCTTGGCGGCCTTCCTGGCGAACTTGATGGCGGCCTCGTTGGCCTCGGAGCCGGAGTTGCAGACGAACACCGAGTTAGCGTCGTGCATGGCACCGGCCTCGCGGGTCTTCTCGATCAGCAGCTTGGACAGGGCGCCGGTCCAGGGGTTGTAGTAGAGGTTCGAGGCGTGCATGAGCGTGCTACCCTGTAAGGTTCCGACCATGTACTGTCAGCGCATCTGGTAGTAAAATGACTCACGGCGGCTCGGAGTTACCCACCTGCTCGGTCAGAATCTGGGTCAGCTCAGGATCGCAGTGTCCCAAGGCATTGACGGCGATACCAGCGGTGAAGTCAAGGTATTTCCTGCCTTCGACATCCCACAGGAGAGAACCTTGGCCTTGTACGAAGACGGGAGGCGGGCGGGCGTATGTGGCGACCATGTAGGGCGCATGTTCGCGAACGAGAGCGGCGCTCGGGGAGTCTTCGGTGGGATCGGGGTTGGGTACTGATGACTGCTTCTACTCATTGTCAGTGTCAGTCTGGTGGTGAGTCACTCGAATAGTTCGTGACTTCATGGGGTCACCTACGCCGAAGTTGCTCTTGACGTCGCTCGTGGCGGCTGCGGCCGCAGAGGAGAGTGCGCGGGAGTTGATGCGCGAGGCGACGGCCAGACGAGGCTGGCACTTTGCCAATTGGAGTCGCAGAGGAGCACGGAACGCCATTATGGTATCTTGAAGAACAAACAGGACTCTGCGGCAAAAGACTGGCAAAAGAGAATGGTGTTGAAGAGAAGTCATCAATTAAAATTTGGGCCGTTCGCGCATGCATGCACAGAGGTGACTCGTCAAACATGTTATCGATAAGGCGCGCATTTTCCCACTTTTTGCGCCGTTTGGAGGGGCAGATCCACTCTTTCCCGGTGTTACGTGCGCTGTGGCCCGGGGATATCCCTCCGATCTCGGTCGGGCTCGGACGAACTGCCGATGTTCTTGAAACGGGCACACCTACTACCCATATCCCATTGACTGCAGAATGGCGGCAGTATCTACCATAGATACCGTGTGTAAGAGATATGTTGAGCTCAGAAGTATATGTCACTCGAATTCAATATCTAGTTTTACTATTATATGTGTTATGATTTGAATAATAGACCTCTTACGTGATCCAGACTGGGAAGGAAATTTCAAACGCATGTTGACAGCACCAAATCAACTTTTCCCCAGCTAGAACTCTGCTTCAAAGTCGTTCGTCTCTTTTGGATATGTTTCGAAGAAGTTATAGATACTTGGTAGCTTCCAGTCAATATTAACCACGAACGTCTCCTACCTTGCTGCAAGTAAGTATCCTTATCCCTCGACGTCTGGTGGGGTAATTTATGTGTCCAGCCGAAAATGCGTTTCCAATTACGAGCTTTCCTCCGACGCATACCCTCCCCAAGCGATAGAACTAGTTCTTGAAGTATGACCGTCATCAAACTTGACAGTCAGTCCGATTGATGCTTCCCTCCGTAGCATTTGTCTCATCTTCTCCAGACTGTTCACCATGTACTCCCAATCCAAACCACCATGACTCCTGGCAATATGAATTTCCAGTTCCAGGCGGCCCCACCGTAACTGAAGTTCAACAACCTTACGATGAGGACGAAGCAAAGCCACAACTTCATCGCTACAGAAGGCCAATATTGAAAGTATAGCGTCTGGTTGCAGCCTGGCCAAAGTTGGACCGAAACCCCATCCCCAATCTGCCAGACTCAGAAGAAGGATCAGACTGTTGAGCCCGTGATCATCATTCATTCGAGACGCCTCCACTGTAGCTCGAGTAATCTCGCACTCGTCAAGCTGGTCCTTGACAACATGAGAAAGGTTGTCTGTTGACAAAATGGTCAAGAGTGCAGGAAGAGCCTCCCCTGTCCATTTGATGCCCCGATAATGTGATGTGATGTCTCTACAAATCGCTGGCAAAGAATGAATTCTTGACTGCAAAGATTTTGCTATCACTGCTGAGATTTCCATGTGTTCTGCGTAATAGATTGCTACGCTAGGAACTGCGGTGTCATTGCACCAATACAAAGCGATAACTATGGCGTCCGGGCTGAAGGTTAGTTTGGAATCCTTAAGCCGAAGCAGGCTGCCCAGTATGCTCTCCGGACTTCTGAGGCTGGTCGAACGAATGCTGTTGCCTCCTAAAGCTGAGATGGCCTTCTGGGTGATCTCGAAGCTCTGACCCCTAGCCAGAAGCGTTTGGATTGAATCCAGACTGCCGGTCCTTATGAGTTCATGGAACGTGGAATCCGTCAATTTTGGCAGTGCGTTAAGAAACGAACGCATGTGTGTGTAGTGTCTCCTTTGACGAGTTGTGTTCCCAAGAAAGAGGTAAGACTCCAGGTCTCTGATGAGCATTGCTTCAGTTTTGAAATAGTCCGGTACTAGCAGCCCGTTGTTCTGTTGCGCGTCAGATGCAATGCCAAGCAGCGCGTATACCATATCGCGGGGATCTGTCGCTTGGCTTGCGCGGAACTTTTGTAGCAGAGTATGTAAACTCTTTTTCCGCGTAGATCCATGTCTCTTATTCGATGGGCTCGGCATGAGGTCCATGAGAGTCTGGCGCTGATCATCAAGCTCGACGTTTATGAGCTGTGTGGCAATGACGAAGATATGAGCCGAGACCGACGAAAACCCACAGCATATTGAAGCTGCTCGAGCGTAGGATACTTCTTGTATAACCCACACTCTCGTGAACCAGGCTTGTTGTAAGAGCTGCTGCAATCCGCTCTGGCCGGAAAGTTTGCGAGCATCAGGATAGCCTAGCTGTAGGCATGTCCACCGGACTCTTGCCCAATCAGTGTCATCCCGACGCCTTTGCTGTGTTGATGCTTCATGGAGAATCGCCAAGTCCTCCATCAGAAGTGCTGTGTCAAGTGTTCCGGGTCCTAACCAGATGAGTACCTGCTCAGCTTGTCTGTAAATCCCAGCCATCTGTCCCACCTGATGCCCTCGCTCAGCAAAGTTGTCTTGGTCGATGCAGATTGCATCCACCCAAAGTATCCTCGCTTGTTGGGTGCGAAGATGAATCAAGGCCGTGAATAATCTCTCCGTGATAGGCAGTATCTTGCCATTGGCAGTGATGGATTCGGTGCGATCAATTCCACCCCATGCGTACGAAAGGGCCTCGTAGGGAATTAAATCGTCGAGCTCAAGAACCGCTTGGAAGATGTCGCATCGGATCTTGTCGTCGTCTCCGGGGTATAGGATGAGAAGTCGGAACGACCTTATTCCCAGGTCGAGGGGTTCGTACTGGAAAGGCTCCATTCTCAAGACCTTTTTTTTTTCTTTTTGGAAAAGAAAGAAAAGAGGGAAAAAGAAAAAGACAAAAGGGTCTATGGCTTCCGAATACCCAAAGAGTCTAGACAAGGAAAGCAGGCGGTAGGATCAGTGTGAGTGAATGAGGTTTCGATGTCTGAGGAAGAGAAAGGTTGTAATCTTTGAGATTCTCCTCTTCAGGGCAATCAGGCTGAGGGAAAAGAGGGGTTTCCATCTTACAGCATGCGACGTATTATCATTGGCTTAGCCGCTTTTTGAAATGGTTCGCCAGTAAATCTGCCTTTTGGGCCTTGGACTCGCCCGCATTATGGCCATGCTTCATGCAGGCGAATCTCACCAATTGCATGAAAGCCTCCACACAGAAGAAGTTCGCGCTGTTCCGAACTTGCAGTGATGAATTGCTGAAGACAAAGGCGATCCAGTGGGCCTTTCGGAAAGTGTAAAAAGCCAGTGCTAAGGGCTGACAAAATAGAGGACAATAGAGCATCGATCCGAGAGTTTATCAGCTTCCATGCAAAATAGATTTTAGCCTGCGGCTCTCTCTTGAGGTCTTGCCTTCAATATTTCCACTGACTCTGTCTGCTGATATCCCGGAATTGACAAATCTGATGGCCTGAGTCCGGAGTTGTGTCATAGTGATGGAGCCGGTGTTTGCGAATACCTACTTAGGTTGACTGCGTGATATACATGTAGGCGCCGTGGATATCCTTTCGGCCTACATTGTACAAATTGCTAGTGGTCTTTGAACGGGTTCTTCTCGTTCACTTGCTTGCGATCATGACTTTGCTTTTGGTGTTTTTAGCTGGATTTAGGGACATTGATACTTTCCTTCATTGGTAAGAGTCGCCATTCGATAATTTATAGATACTTATTCTATACCGCCTGGCATACCTGGATACAGACTATTCCACTGAAGGGTTGTATTCACATACAAACCGTTGATGAATTCCGCCTCCACTCTGATCACCGCAATACGAAACCTCTCGCGAGGATCCATGTTCTCTTTAATGTATTCGATCTTCTTCCTGTCCGCGACTGAGCCTAAGCCGGGTAACAATTCCGTGGACCAGCGGACACTATCATCAGGAGGGTGCCCCAAAGCGACAATGCTGACTTTTTTGAAAAACCACACAAGCAGCAAGATTAATGCCTTCTCATCAAAAAACCGCAGCAACCATAGCAGCCCACTCATTGCGAATTCCATTCGATCGTCGACCAGACCGAGGAGTATCGGGATGATCTTGCCCTTTTTTCGATTGCGGGAAGCTGATTCAAGAACTTTGTCCGTCACTTCATACACTTGTGTTTGTTTCTTGAGAAGCATTTCCAACGACGTCGGATCGATAACCCTCACTATAGTGGACAATCCATCTTGCGTGAATGGAATAGAAGGCTTATTCCATTTGATCAGCAACATGAGAATTTGGCCCCTTCCGTCTTTTCGCTGTAGCAAGGCTTCGGCAAGATGACGATTGACCTGTAAATGTTCCCTAAAACGGCTCAAAAGACTTCGTGCAGTTGCAATGTCGCAAAACTGGAATAAAGACTCTACGCCTTTGACGCTGAAGTTGAAATTTTGGTGCTTTACTTGAGATAGATTGAAGAGAATCTTTGCAATTCTCGGTCCTTCTTCTTTCCATATTTCACCAACTACAGCTTTATTGACAGAGAGCCTGTGGCCCCTCTCAAGAAACGTGAGAATGTGGCTTGTTATTCCCGTCACCACAAGGCTTCGGTGAATTGCTGCTGTTCGTTTAGGCAATCCCTCAAGAAAAGATAGCATGGTTCGCTCGGGAATATGTCTGTAATAACGCAAATCTAGGAACAGGTATGTCTTGAGGTCTTGCACCAGCTGTTCTTCAGTTTTGAAGTAGTCTGGCAATAGCAGTGATCCTGAGTCGCTTTGCGATACGTCGGAGGCTATTGCTAGTAGGGCGTATACCATATCCCGAGGGTCGCTCGCCTTGCTGTTTTGAAACTTTTGTAATAAGGCCAGTAGAACGTTCTTCCTTGGGGATCTCTGAGTGAATGAATCCGGAAGCAAGTCCAGAACAGCTTGGCAGCCGGTGTCTGGGACGACGCCGACGAGCTTGGCAGCGATATTGAGCATATAGGCCGGAACGGACCATTTTCCACAATATATCGATGCTGCCCTGGCGTGTGATACTTCCTGCAGAACCCATATCCTCGTGAACCAGGTCTCCTCGAGGAGTGAAACAAGCCCCTTTCGTTGCAGATCCAAGAGGACAGCCTGGTCAAGTTCCGAGTTCTGTCGTATCTTTGACCATTGCTCTTGTGCCTGAACAAGGTCATCCCGGCTTTTCTGACGGGCCCAGCTTTTGTGTAGCTCTTCGAGGCATCCAAATAAGAGGTTCGTCTCATGTGTGGGCGGGCCAAGCCATATGATGACCTGTTCAGCGCCTCTGTAGATGCCAGCCATCTGTCCGACCTGGTGACCTCGCTCAGCGACGTTGCTTTGGTCGATACAGACAGCGTCGATCCACATGACTTTGCTTACATGGTCGTCTCGGAGGTAAGTCAAAGCAGTGAACAGGTTATTCGTGATGCGGAGGGTCTTGCCGTTGGCGATGATGGAGGCCGAGAGATCAATGCTGCCCCAGGCATATGATAAGGCTTCGTAGGGGATAATGCCGTCGGAGTCCAGGCTTGCTTCAAAGATATCGCAGGATATCTCGCCGGTGGATCCAGGATGAAGCATAAGTAGGCGGATTGATTTCCCCGTGAGGTTTAGGGGTTCGTATTGGAACAGGTCCATGATGGATCGAGTTACTGATGTTCGCGTATTTTCATCGATCTCTTATGGCGGAGCTAGAAAGCTCAACTTCTTATGACATATCTAGTTGACTAGAAATCACGCCGAAATGGTGTTCATGTCAGGTTTAAAGGTCTCTCCATCCACTTACTCAACACAATCAGGCTGCGAGAGGGGGGTTGTTGCCTGAAACGTAGGTAGCTAAGCCTGGTTAAATAGCTGCTCAACCAACAAATCTGCCTCGTTACACCGCATGGCTGATGTAGGTATCTAGTGCATGAATTTTTGGCCAATGATATGCTGGTGCGATCGTGGGTAGTTGAGGAATGGTGGCGAAGCTGCTTCGCCTCGCGGGCAGATTTGTTCATTGCATCGAAGACTCGCAGTATGGGACCGATGTATCAAGAAGGGTTGAGCGCAGCATTCTCGAAAGGGCCTCTTCTCGCAGCGTAAATGCATTTAAACGCCATTTTGACTCAGAAGTTCCCGGGCCTGCGTAGGTAAGTAATTGGAATGAACACCTTAGGCCATTGCCATAATACTGCGAGAAGCATATGCTAGTCGTTCTCTCGGGTCGGAGTGCCGTCTTAGTACGTACATTCGGAATTTCAAAGTTCCATTAATGTTGCCATTAGATGTCAGGTGCCGCCGTTATCCACGATGCCGGATTGCGTCGGGAATCCGGTGGCTCGTGACTCGTCATGTGGACGTCGAATGCGTTCCTGAAGAAAGTCCCGAATCCGGGGATAGGCGGGTCAGGCGGGTGTACCTTGATGCTTAGGTAAGCCTTCTGGTTCACATTACAAGTACAACCTGACTGAGGGCTCTGCAGGATAACAATCTTCAGTGGAGTTGGACAGCGGTTCAGCAGCTGCCAGCAGAGCGCTAGAAGAGCCAGCCGGCGTTGCGTGATTGGACATCCTCGGTGTCGGATCCGGGGTGGGTACCAAAGCAGCCTAGCGGCGGAGGCCGCAGTTGCCCGCGTGCCCTCCAAGGTTCTCCGTACTTTCTTCGTACAGGCCACAGCTCTGGGTAGGTACTCCGTGCTACCCCGTGCGGGTTAACTCGAGCACCCAGGCCAAACCCACACTGCAGGTGGGTTTGGGCCTCTTCACATGTCAGCTGCCCTTTCCCCCCCCAAACCCAAACAAACGTCACCATCTCACCTCAGAAGCCAGCAATTGAACCGAGCCCACGCGGAGAGACACACACAGAGTACTGCGTACACTCACTCGACCGCTTTCACATTGAAACATGTGCCGCCGGTACCCTGGTCAAGGACCCTCTTTCACGAGCAACGTCGGCCGTTGTTGTCGCTGCTGCTGCCGCTGCTACCGCTCCTCTTCCCATCGTAGTCTTCTTTGACAGCTCTTGCTCAACTCTCGACTACTCCTCTCCGCCATATCCTTCGCGAAACATATCGTCATTCATTCCAGGCACTCGGCTGCTCATCATCTTCGGCTTCTAGCTCCTCGTATCACCACCTACAACCATTCCCCAAACGTGTACGATCCCAAACAAAAGGAACCTCTCCGGCCTTCTATTTCGAACCAAGTCCAACTTCGGGTGGCGGTCCGTGGGATCGAGCCGTCCGTCGCTGCACCTTTTCGCCCGCCGTGCTCGCCAAGCGCTTCTCTGAGCTGCCTGGGACGCATTGCCATGGCCTTTTAGCCCTGGAGCCATCGCATTACTCGCGCTGCGCCGTCCCGTCGACGACTTCCAACGCCATCCATTGTTACCCCCAGCCACAAACTCGTGGTCTTGCGCTGCTCGCTTGGTCAGCCACGCCTCCGGCTGTCCTCGGTGCCTAGATTCCCATGACCTTGCGCCGGAATCTGCAACCCACTGCTTTTTCTTTCTCCTCCTTCGTCCACTGCTCTGTTGTTCATCATAGCATACACCAGTCGCCATGATAGACCACGTCCTGGGACGGCCGTCGGTCAAGTCGCGCCGCCTTCAGGTTCTGGCGGTGCTGGCTTTCTGGTCGGCATACATCTTCAGGTAACAAACAACATCTTGAATCTCGTGCAACGCTGTCGTGATAGAAGCTGATGAGATCTTTTGCAGAGGACACCCCCACGGCCCTCCCGTCATCCGTTTCTTTTCCAAGCTCACGACGAAGCGCCTGACGACATGGCAGACCGTCGTGGTCACCATGATCTACCTCTACGCTGCCCGGCATTTTAGCACTCTGGTCGGCCTCGCGAGCCCCGAACCCATGTCCAACATGTACGATGCCACCTACTTCCGCGCAACATGGATCTTGACTGCTCTGGATGCCGGCTTTTGGACCGCCATGAAGATCCGCGCAAAGTGGCTTCGCGACCTGGCCAGCATCGTCTTCTCCGTATTCTACATGTTTGCCGCCGAGAAGGCTGACGAAAAGGTGCGCAAGGTGCGCGGCATGTTGACCGTCGAGCATCTGCGTGTGTCTTGGGACAAAGGAACGACGCCGTACCTGAAATTCTTTCAAGGCCTTATGCGGCCTCGCTTCTCCCGCTGGCCGCCGCGCGCAATCCGCATTCCGCGACCCTCTGGCAGCGATTATAAGGAGCCTGTGTCGGCTTGGCTCTACTTTGATGGACCATTGGCGGACCTCGTGCGACACAGCAGAATCATCCTGGATATCCCTGGTGGTGGATTCGTCGCCATGGACCCTCGATGCAACGATGATAAGCTATTTGCATGGGCGTCCAAGACTGGCATGCCAGTTCTTAGCTTGGATTACAAGAAGGCTCCCGAGTTCCCGTACCCCTTCGCCCTGAACGAGTGCTTCGACGTCTACACGACACTTATTCGAAGCAAGGGACGATGTATCGGCATGTCTGGAAGAGAGACACCCCGAATTGTGCTTACAGGTGATAGCGCCGGTGGTAACTTGGCCACGGCAACGACTCTCATGATTGTCGAGAGAACGTCAGTGCCGATGCGTCGCTACTCGAGCACAGGAGATCTGCCATTACCCGACGGATTGGTCTTGTTCTATCCAGCACTTGATATGAATATTGGCAACTGGATGTCAGACGAGCAAATGTCACTTATGAAGGATAGAAGGCTGAGAAGCACGAACCAATCGATCATCAGGCGAAAGAGCATGCAGTACAACGACCTCGTCGGCACACCTCACCACAGTGATGACGAGGAGGACTCCAACAAGCAGTCGACAGAGCTGACGGCCAAGGAGGTCCAGATCGCCTCACAACAAGCGCTCGCCAGTCCCCATCCCGAGTTTTCGCATGGCGGTCCACAAAGTATGTCCAACGCAGGATCCTCAGCTCCGGATATCAAGCGTCAGCAGAGCGCATCCCATCACTCGGAACCTCTTCGAACCCGCCTCGCCATGTCGTCCATGATTTCGTACTTCAACGATCGCGTGCTCACGCCCGAGATGATGCGCGCCATGATCATTCTCTATATCGGTCCTCACAATCGACCCGACTTCAGCAAGGACTACCTCCTTTCTCCTGTTCTTACCCCCGACTCCCTCCTTGCGCGCTTCCCTAAGGTCTACTTCCTGACCGGCGAGCGAGACCCTCTGGTCGACGACACCGTCATCTTCTCAGCACGTCTGCGCAAGGTGAAGGAGTCAATGTTCGACCAAGCCCAATCCGAGCGCTCCGACCTTGGCGATGGACTCGAGCCCATCTTCAATCCCAAGGACGTTGCCGAGGTGATGCTGATCCCCGGCATCTCCCACGGCTTCCTTCAGTTCCCGACCGTGTACCCCCCAGCATGGAAGCACTTTGAGAGGTCAGCGGAATGGATCACAGAGATCTTTGCCTCAGCCGACGCTGTACGCGAAAAGGAGAGCCGCGGCCGCAGACGCGTCGGCGGTGGACCCATCACAAACGGCAACAGCGAGGGACGGCACCATAACCGCGTCGAGTCGAGCGGGGATGAGGACAGGCCGCTGGAGATTAGCATGACGAGAGCGAACCGCAAGAATACCCTGACCAAGGAGCCGCAGGTCATGGACGAGAGCGAGTCCATTGTACCCGATGCGAATGGCAAGAAGAAGAATGGCCGCGCGAGGGGCGCAAGTAAGAGTGCGGGCGCGAGCGCGAGCCTCGTGAAGCTGAAAAGTACAGATGACTTATTGGGAAGGAGAATGCAAGGTCTTGCTGGGGGCTTGACTGGCGTCGGGAGGGGACAGGAATGAAGCGGGTGAATGACCTGAAAGTGTCCTTGTACGATGGAGGCGCACAGTATTTATCACGATTTCGAGTCACGAATGTAGCCTCGTTAGGAATGTGTTCTTTCATTGGGGCTATAGATGGTTTGTAGATTGGATTCGCCAACGAAGCTGTACACATACGTCGGGTAGCACCAAGTTTTATAGACACCAGTATGATCATGGCCGTGCCTCTTCTGTGTCACTATGTAAGTCTGCCTCCAATAAGGGGTTGATGGTCGTTGACATAGGGTCGAGATATCTTGTAATGGCAACGATCATGGCAAAGTTCGCTGTCGAGAGGATTATGTGAAGCCTTCAGAGAGTGAGGCAAGGCACAATGACACAGCCGCTTGTCTCTCTCCTCGAGAGAACTCTGTGATTTATGCTAGTGGAGTGGTCAATGGTCAGCAATCAATTTCTACACGCCAACCGGCCTTACTCGACGACAGGCTTAGCGCATACGAGAGTACACGAGTTCGAATCCCAGCTTGTGCGCCAGAGATGTGGTCCCCGTTCGCCACCGTGGGGGGAGGGGGGTGAACTCTTTTGCTATTCTGGTTGATGTTGGTGGTGATGTCTTTTTGGTGGTGGTTGAGCCCCTTTCAATGCTTTAGGTTGTGTTGTTGCGGCTGCTGCTACTCACTCTATAAATTGGATTAATCCAGAAGAATACTGATCTATCTGCAGGCTATCACCTTCGAAGAACCCTGAGGCGGTGCTTTGAGAGTTCATGGCCAAACCTGCCTAACACAGATTTGGTAGTGCTAAGGGCGTGTCACTCTGGTTCTCTACCATCTGAAGTTTAGAGATGGGATCTCACCGGTTTATA